CAGTATAAAAATAGTAGGGGAATTTCTTACAAAACTAAAAATAGAACTACTATATAATCCAGCAATCTCACTACAGAGTATTTCCCCAGAGGAAAATAAACCAGTATTATCAAAGAGATATCTGTACTCCAACTATTTACTGTAGCACTATTCACAATAGGGAATCAGCCTAAGTGTCCATCAATGGACAAATGAGTAAAGAATTGGTGACACATATATACAATGAAATACCATTCAGTCATACAAAAAGAATGAAATCATGTCATTTGCAGCAACATGGATGGAGGTCATTATGTTAAGTGAAATAAGCCGGACACAGAAAGACAAATATTACATGTTCTCACTTACATGTGGGAGCTAAAAAAATTGGATTTCACGGAGGTAGAAAGTAGAATTACAGCTACCAGAGGCTGGGGAGGGTGTGTGTGGAGGGAAAAGGAGGATAAAAAAAGGTTGGTTAATGGGTACAAAAATACAGTTAGATAGTCATAATAAATTCTAATGTTTAATAACTGAGTAGGGTGACTACAGCTAGCAATATATGATACACTTCAAAATAACTAGAAGAGAAGATTTAAAATGTTCCCGACACAGACATGATAAATATTCACAGTGAGGGATAGTCTATGCATGTAACAAAATATCAGAGGTACCCCATAAATACATACAAATAAACTGAAAAAAGAAAACCAAAAAAAAACCAAACCAAATCAAATGTGATTTCAGATACTACACAATGATATAAAACTTTGAGTTAGTTCTTTAGAAAATGATTAAACAAACAGCAGCAAGGGAAGTACACGTGGTGAGGAGTGAGTGTGGATGGGAGATGTGGGGAACATCCTCCAGGATGGCTCAGCTTGCCCACATGGTCAAGGACCCTGTGGTGAGGCAAAGGTCTGGGCAGGATGCATGGGAGTTTCATGGGGGCTGCATTCCAGTGCCCGTCTTTGTATAAGCGTGTCACCTATGGGACTCAAACTACCTCAGACTTCTCCAGAGATTCAGCCAATTAAACAGATTTTGTTTCCCATTCTGCTGCTTCTAAAAATATAAGATTCTCTACACACTGCTATCATTACAAACTGTGAAAGGCACTATAAAGAAAAAGAATACAAAACCCAAATGGGTGATATAAATTTTACATTAAGGGGAGGGTGTCAAGAGTAAATGCCTCTAAAGTAGCCAAGAAATGATGAAGAAATGAGTTAGGAATTTTAGCCATTCATGCAAAAAAGGGGTAAGACTGGGAGAGGCCTTTTAGACAGAACAGCACATGCGAATGTGAGCAGGTAGGAATTTGGCTTGAGAATAGTCAAGGTAGTTACCATACCCTAGGATCATCATGACCAAGGGGACATTGTACAGGATCAGGCTCCAAGTGGCCAGGGCCAGGTCACCTTAGATTTGACAGCTCAAGGTAGTATAATCAGAAACACTGAAGAATTGAAAAGAGAAGCATCAGGATTCTATTTACTGGCTGCTGGGTGCTAGATGGTTTAGGACAAATTCTTGAGAAGCTACTGCAGAAGTTTAGGAGGCCTGGGCCTGGGAAGTGGCTAGGATGATGAAGAGAACAATGGGCTGGGTATCAACTGCCTAAGGAAACACCATGCAAACATTCACTCAACATGTACTGACAACTTCCAAGGCTCCATTCCATCACTGGCTCTGCAGATTAAAGGATAAACAAAGCATGGTTCTACACTCAATGGAGGTTACATGTGGGGTGAAGTTTCAACGGAAAAACTTCATGAAAACTCAGGCAGCAATAAGTGTGATCTTGAAAAATAAAAGGAAAAGATGACTTTGGACCTCTCAGGATGTTAGTTGGAGGAGAAAAATTTCATGAAATCCTGCCCTTGTAACAGAGACTCAACAAATGATATCCATTAACATTATTCTATCAATACAAAATAAGTAATGAGTAAAGACTTTGCCATTGCAATTGCTTAAATATTCCCATATGCTTCTTTAAAAACATCCCATCCAACATACCTGCTTCCTTCTTTGAAAATGGAGTCTGGTTTTTAAAGTCATATACTTCCAATACACACTGAAATACTCTGTAACAAAATCTAGATGAAATACTAGGTGGCAGGATTCAAGTTTTATTTTTACCTCTTTTCAACCTCTAAGTTTATGCTAGCAAGAGGTAAACTGCAGAAGCATAAAGCAGAATGCAGTGACTGGCTAATATGCTGACTCTAGCTGGGGGCTAACAGCAGACAAAAACTCCTTACAAAGACAATGGGGATTTCAGGTAGCATAAAACACATCCATGTTGTGGCCTTCATTAATCTCAAGAGTATGTCTGCTATACTGAAGATACGATTTTACAGGTCATGACCTAAAACTTGTTTGAAGCAGCAGGTTCATTTAATAAATACTCCAATAAAAAACTGCCTTCTCAAAAACAGTTATCTTCCCCAGGGGGCCCTACTCCCCCAGTCCCAATGAACTGGCTCATGCCTAACCATCTTACATAGCATACTTACTATCTAAGTTACAAAGGGGTACACATATGCAACAAAATTTCATGTTGACAGGTTCACCAGGAAGTTCTGTGAGTAATCAGATGTTCTAAAGGCTCACTTCACTCAGATTCTCTCCAGTGACCCTACTAAGTATCCCAGAACTCACTGCAAACAGTTGTGTCCAGTCACAAAGAGCACACAATAAAAATATGTGCAAGAAGAAAAAAACAGAAACTATATGATTCTCCATTGTTCAGCAATAAATAATAAAGACACAATTAAATGAACTGCCCTGGCCGAATCAACCAAAGATCACCAGGATTCAACAAAGTTTTTGACAAGAGTCAGGTTTGTTGGCTCTTTACTATAATGCATGAGCCGCCCCATGGTTCCATGCAAACATTAATCCCAAAACTCAGAACAACCCTGAAGGTGGTATTATTACCCTACTTTTACTGATAAGCAAATTAAAGCTGTGAGAAGTGTCCTTGTTCAAAATCACATGGCTAGTAAACCATTAACTCCAAAATCCTTACAAAGCAACTCAAAATACCCACAACCGAAGCCAAGACCATATCCTTTCCTCTAGACATTTTGAGCTGGTGGTTTGCAAACAAGTTTTTAAACTATAGGAAGAAGTTTCCTTTAAATAAAATATGACTGAAATTCATGAACGAACAGGTACATATTTTTTTTTTTTTTTTTTTTTTGAGACGGAGTTTCGCTCTTGTTACCCAGGCTGGAGTGCAATGGCGCGATCTCGGCTCACCGCAACCTCCGCCTCCTGGGTTCAGGCAATTCTCCTGCCTCAGCCTCCTGAGTAGCTGGGATTACAGGCACACGCCACCATGCCCAGCTAATGTTTTGTATTTTTAGTAGAGACGGGGTTTCACCATGTTGACCGGGATGGTCTCGATCTCTTGACCTCGTGATCCACCCGCTCGGCCTCCCAAAGTGCTGGGATTACAGGCTTGAGCCACCGCGCCCGGCTACAGGTACATATTTAAGGCATAGGATGATGTCTTCCTTCAGAACAGCCCTTGGCTACTAGCTACTAAGGGGAGGCAACGTGTGATACTGAGTGTTTTTTAAAACATTTAATTCAACTTAAGCAAACAGGCCATCTGCAGCTGCACCTTGTCACTTTCCTCCATGCTTAGACACTGATCAGCTCCTTTGAAAGGTGGTAGGGCAAAACTGGACGGTAATGGTTTACCACTGCAGTTTTAGCACTGTAGGATTCCTGGCTGAAGGGACAGCAAAAGAAAAGAAATGGAGGTTGGATGAGAAAAAATATTTTGTGAAAAGCATTCATATTTTTAATGCAAAATTAAGTAGAATAATATAATTAGATTAAAAATATGCCTAAGAACAGACAAATTAATGTCTTATGAAGGTTTGCTAGCATTTACTTTTAGTTTCAAAAAAATAAGGTGACCTGAATGAAAACATATGCTGAGTTAGCATATTAAAATGGCATATAATGTAACTGTTTATTTCAGAGTATCTAGGAGGCCTGAGACAGCAGACGGGTTTTGTCACTTGTTCAAATCCTCCCAACTGGATCTGTGTCATGTTTGGCCATATACCAAAAACACAGGGAAAAGATCTACCCTTGCAAAGACTTTTCATGGGCATAACTGTATGGCCAAGGGGTTGGTCAGAGTCAACGTCTAGGCCGAGAGAGAAGCACTGCCTGGGAGCAAACTCACTGCATCAGATACACTCTCCTGGTTCCTAGGTCATACCCTAGCAGCCAGTGTGCTCCTGGTAGACTGAAGTGACCACACTACAGGTGAGCAGATGCCACTGGATGGCTGATTCACTTCCCAGGTCTTCCTTTTCCTAGCTGCCTTCCAGCTAGAGGTGGCCTGTGATCCAGTTCTGGCCAGGGAGATGTAAGCAGATTTCAGGCAGCCAGCTGGAGCTTCTGGGAAAGCTTTTGCCTTCCTGCTGAAAATGGTGACTCTCAGCTAAGAGACCCTTAATCCCTGATCATTCCTCTAATTCCCGCGAAGGCCGCAACCACAGTGCCTGAGATCCAGCTCTCATTGTGAGACCACATGCAAGTAGGAGGTAGCACGGACAGGAAAGAGCCTGCCTTGGTCCCTGGCAACATCTGTGAGCAACTCAGCTCTAGACCACCTACCTCCAGATACCTTGTCATCTGAACCATATAAATCCATAATTATTTAAGTCACCATAGTCAGCTTTTTGTTACTTTCAGTTCAATACATTCCTAATTGTGGCAAGAGACTCTCTTGTGCTTAAGATTTCTTCTGCCTTAAAGTATACAGTTTTTTGGAAAAAATGAAGTTTTCTCCTAGAAATCACTTCCCTCAACACACACTCAAAATCGCCCTTCTAGAAAAATGTAACTGCCACACACCTCTTCTGGTCCCAGAACGGATTACAGAAGTGTATCAAGAACTTTAATGTCTATTCAGAAAAAGAGTATAAACACATGTAAGGCATAAGAACACAAAAGCCTCAAGGTAATAACATTTTTCATTGGTGCTCTACCTTAGAAATGTTGCTTGAATGACTCATGGAATGTCCCAAAATCTTCTCATTCTGCAAGAAAATCAAACAGGTTTTAAGTATGAATCTTTGATTAAAATACACAAAGAACAAATAATTGATCATAACAACCCTACTGACAAATTATTTCCTGAACTAGAATTTCTAAGCACAACGTGCTATATACTAGATGTATGTATCCAGTCAGAGAGTATTGGAGATTTGGGCAAATGAATAAAACAACAGTCCCTGTCCTTAAGGATTTAACTTTTTATTTAAATTAAAATACTTAATTTTTTATTATCAGGAAAAAAAGAAGAGTTTGGAATTCACTGTCAAAATAAGATGGTAATAAGTGTATTAAGTCACATTTCAGTGGAAGTCCAGATGGTGATAAGTGTCTTAGGACACATTTCAAGTGGAGATGCTACATGCTCAGTTGTATGTGACACAGTCCACATTACGAGGAGCCACTTCGAAAAAGCAAAGAAAAGTGGACAGCTGACCAGCCCTGGGGTGTCTGGCTAACAAAGGGCTGAATATTCAACAGGGATATCACACAGCTCACATCTCCTTCAAGCCAGTTTCTCCTCCTGGAGCAGGGAAATCTGGGAGCCAAGCCAGTTGCCTTCCTCTGGTGCCCCTCCACCTTCAGTCACATACTCTTGTATCAAATTCTTGCTCCTTAATGCCTCTTAATCACAACTCATTTTCATTTTTATTGTCAATGCTTTAGTTTAAATTCTCATTTCTCAACTAGAATTCTTGAAGAGTAAGGTCCCACCTGGCCTTTTTGCCTTTATGTTGACCTCCCTGACACACAACTGTTACGGGTTAAACTGTATATTCTCCTCCCTTCTGTGAAAATTTAGTTGTTAATGTCCTAAACTACCTGTTCCTCAGAATATAACTATTTGGAATAGGGTCTTTAGAGATGTAATTAAATTTACATGAGGTCATTAGGGTAAACTCTAATGCAATAGTGGTGTCCTTGTACGAGATCACGACACAGACACACACAGATGAAAGACAATGTGAACACAGAGGGAGAAGACAGCCATCTAGAAGCCAAGGAGAAACCAACCTTGCTGCCACCCTGATCTTGGACTTCCAAACTCCAGACTATGAGCAAATAAATTTCTGTTGTTTAAGCCATAAACTTTATGTTTATGTGTACATGTGTATGGCACTTTGTTATGGCAACCCTACCAAACAATTACAATCATCTTCCATGCTATGACTTTATTTAAAAAAAAAAAAAAAAGTGAACATTCCAAACATAAATCTGATTTTTTAAAAATAAAGTCATTTTCCTGGATCCACTTATTCTTGCTCTAAACCCAAATGAGTAAGAAAGAAAGAAAAATTATATACATACATACATACATACATACATACATATATATATATCCTAATGAAGAGATAATCTTACTTGTATCTCCTTGCTCTGTCGCCCAGGCTGGAGTGCAGTGGCATAATCATGGCTCATCACAGCCTTGACCTCTTTGGCTCAAGTGACACTCCTGTCCCAGCCTCCAGAGGAGCTGGGACTACAGACACATGTCAACATGTCCAACTAAATATTTTTTGTGGCGAGAGGGCTCACTGTCACCCAGGCTGGAGTGCAGTGGCACAATCATGACTCACTGCACCCTTAACCTCTTGGGCTCAAGTGATTCTTCCGCCTCAGCCTCCTGAGTAGCAGGACTACAGGCATGTGCCACCACGTCTGACTAAGCATTTTTTGTAGAGACAGGGTCTTGCTATGCTGCCCGGGCTGGTCTTGAACTCCTAGCCTCAAGTAATTCTCCCATCTGAGTTTCTCAAAGGAATGGAATTACAGGTATGAGTCACTATACTTGACTGTTTCTTCATCTTAAGACAGTCAATTAGTAAATTTTAAAGTATGCTCAAAGTGTTGGGAGAATGTCACCAAAGAATGTTTCTAAAAGACCAAGTTTAACTAGCAATTTCATTCAATCATGTTATTCACACATTCATTCACTGGGAATGGAAGTCCTCTGTCCAGAACAAGTAATCTATAACCATCTGAGTTTTATTCATTAGTCAGGAATGTTATTTATGGGTTAAACACATAAGATTATCTCATACTGTTGTAAGTTCCGATTTTAAGGCCAAACTACTGGTGACTTACTACTAAATTTTAGTAGAGTCTACTAAATTAAAACAAAGATATCACAGGCCTTGGATTATCTGTATAGAAAGCCAATTATGATCACTGCCACATAATTACTATCTCACAAGGAATGGCTAGTTTGATACCATCTAGAAATCTACAGAGAAGTTCACAAGTACTAAGAGAAGCAATAAATCATATCCTCAGATCTTTTTGACATTAATTAGTCCACAGAGAATGGATATTGGAAGAGGGAGACCTACCTGCTAAACTAATGTTACAAACCCAAATTGAGAGCTAAAGTTGTTCCTTACCCTTTAATAAATAAATTTGACAATGCAAGCTTTCATTTTCTTTTCTTATTAAAACAATTCATATTTTACATTGATAAAACCAAACAAATAACAAGCCCCAGAAAACACAAGTGTTTTAAAGCCTGAAACCACCAATATTTACGGTTGCTTCTCCACTATCTGGTAGGACCTTAACAATTTACTTCTAGCAGACCATCTTTTATTTTCCCCCAATAAACAATGCTATTTAAATGACCATTTATTTGGACTTAACAGAAAAAATATAAAGTTCAGGACAACAACAGAGATATTTTCCAGAAAGCAAATCCCAGGACCCATTCAAATCAGGCATTTTTTCCACACTTATTTACTATGCAACTATTATGTGGAAACAACTGTTGTCAAGCACAGAATATGGACAAAAATCCAACTCCTAACCATGTGCCAATGATAATATAGAGAACCTCTTATTTGAAATGCTTCGGACCAGAAGTGTTTCATATTTCTGAGTTCTTTGGACTTTGGAATATTTGCATTATACTTGTTGGTCAAGTATCCCAAATCTGAGAATTCAAAATTTGAAAGGTGACGATGAGCATTTCCTTTGAGTGTCATGCCGGCATTCTAAAGTTCCAGATTTTGAAGCCCTGGATTTCAGGTTTTTGGATTAGGGACACTCAACATCTATTACCATTGAACTGCTCTGAAACACTGTTTTGGTGAGAAATTTACAAACTAGGGAAAAGCTTAAGAATGACATTTTTAAAAAAGCATATAAATAAAGTATATCAAGGTGGAAGGGTGACACCACTCTGTCCTATAGTCAGAATGCTACCTTGGTTCTGAATGAGAAAGTTTGCCAAGCATCAACGTAAAGAGAACTGGAATTAGGCATACCAAAGAGAAAAAAGTTCCAGTTCAAGCCCAAACTAAGCTTCAATGCCCAAGTAATAAAAACCTTGGCAAATTATTTACAGCTCTTCAACACTTTCAGTCGCTGCTAACTGGGTACCACCATCTTGTGATCCCAGGAGAGATGGAAGCCTCACTGCATCTTTCCTTCCTTTCTCAGAGAAGGTACTAAGAGATGTCGCATACTTTCCTGGCTTTCATCTCCCCATCTCTCTGGTTGGCTCTTTTCATCTGCATTAAACACGAGAGCTTCTCAGAACACAGCTTCATGCCTTCTTTTCATTTGTTTTCTCCTTTAGCCAGTGTTTCTCCAACTCTGGGCACTTAATCATTTAGGGATCTTGCTAAAATGTAGATAGTGGTTTCTTAGCTCTAGAGTGGATTGAGAATGCTGCATTTCCAATAAGCTCCCAGGTGACTCCCATGCTGCTGTCCCCAGACCACAGTTTGAGGTGTAAGTTTTCATTTCAAATCCTGAACCAGAAAAATCAATAAAGGCTGTAAGTTTTGTTTGTTGTTTGAACACAAGGTTTTGTCATGTTGCCCAGGCTGGAGGGTAGTAGCTATTCACAGGTACCATCATATTGTACTACAGTCTCTAATTGCTGGGCTCAAGTGATCCTCCCACTTCAGCCTCCCAAACAGCTGAGATGACAGGCATACTACTGTTATGACTCCTTTTTTAAAAAGCAAATAATGACAATTTTAAAAGTAAATTTCTATGTAAAAGATGGCTGTGAGCCCACAATTGAGTTAATAAAAATAAATCAATCAGAAACACACTGATACAGACTGGGAAAGACTGAGTCTCAGGATATGATTCAACGAAGTTTTCTTAATGTAAGAAGTTACCAGATCACAAAGGTAAAGAGAAGTTCTGCTGTAGAATAAGGGACATTGTACAATTTAATCAGTACTGTCAATGATGTTTTGCAAGTCCACATGTAGCTCCAACAGAATGTACCTTGGGGGTAGAGCCAAGGCATACAACTCACAAAGACCAAACACGCCCTGGAAAGTAGAAGCCAAAAATTATCAAGAAGACAATGAGGTGAGAGGCCTAAGCAAGTTTTTGAGATTCTATATAAAACAGTCAAACAACAGGACTTCATCATGTGAGGTTTTCCTGTAACTCTGACCAGGACCAGTCATTAAAAAAAAAAAACAAACAGGCCAGGCACAGTGGCTCAAGCCTGTAATCCCAGCACTTTGGGAGGCCGAGGCGGGTGGATCACGAGGTCAAGAGGTCGAGACCATCCTGGTCAACATGGTGAAACCCCGTCTCTACTAAAAATACAAAAAATTAGCTGGGCATGGTGGTGCATGCTTGTAATCCCAGCTACTTAGGAGGCTGAGGCAGGAGAATTGTATGAACCCAGGAGGCAGAGGTTGCGGTGAGCCGAGATTGCGCCATTGGACTCCAGCCTCGGTAACAAGAGCGAAACTCCGTCTCAAACAAACAAAATATGTGGGCAATGAACACTGCTAACTGCATACTCAATATCCATCCTCCCTTTGTCCCCCGACTTCATCCTGAGCAGCAACAAACACAGCTAAAAGTTCTCACTTTCCCACACTGCTTTGACGTTAAGGAAATATATTAAGTATGTAAAAAGTTCTTTTGAAAGAAATTAACTAAGGTTTTCTGGGAAAACATTTTGCTTTCCTGATATAGCCATGGCCCATTTCTCCAGAATTCCTCCTCCCTCATC